TTTCCACCATGAATGGCACACCGTCGACATGACAGTCAAACTTCCGGAGAGCAAAAACTATAGCAAGACATTCCCTTTCTGTGATGTTCTGCTCGGCGGCATTAAGTGACCGGCTCGCAAAGCCGACTGGCCAGAGGACGCCGTCGTGCTCCTGAAGGAGCACCGCGCCGAGACCCAGGTCGCTCGCGTCCGCTTAGACAACGAAATCCCTGTTTAGGTCGGGCAGCTTTAACTCGGCTGTGGCCACTAGAGCTTCGGAAAACGCCTTGAAAGCTTGCTCTTGTTCTGGCCCCCAGCTCCATCGTGCCGACTTTTTCAAGAGTGCAGTCAAGGGCGCTTGGAGGGCCGCACAGTTTGGGATGAACTGTCGATAGTAGTTCATCATGCCCAAAAAGTGCCTCAGGCCCTGAATGTTTGCCGGCGTCGGGTACTCCACAATGGCACGTACCTTCTCGTCGCAAGGCAGAACATGACCGCTCTGAATGGTAAAGCCTAACAGTGAGATGCGAGTCTCAGCTATTTGAGCTTTCTTCGGGTTCAAAGTCAACCCGGCGGCACGCAACCTCCCAAGGACATCGTCCAAGTGGTGAAGGTGTTCTTCGAACGTTTGAGAGATGACGATGCCGTCGAGGTACGCCATGGCGTGTTGCCATTTAGCGTCCCCTAGAACGCGGTCAATCAATCTCTGGAACGTAGCTGCAGCTCCAGAACAGCCAAACGGCATGCGGGTAAACTCGTACAAACCTCTGTGAGAGGTGAACGCAGTTTTCTCCGCGTCCGCTTGCTCCATCTGAACCTGTAGGTAACCGCGGCTAGCATCCAAGGTGCTGAAGTAGCAAGCACCGCCTAGAGCCACGATCGAGTCAACGTTAGGCATAGGATAAGCATCCTTCCTCGTGACCTCGTTCAGCTGGCGGTAGTCCACACAGAGCCGGTAAGAGCAGTCTCTTTTGGGGGGGGCCATTAACACCGGTGAACCCCAAGGACTGTTTGAGCTTTGGACAACTCCGGTCTCAATCAACTCATCCAGTGCCTGGTCAATTGCTTTCCTTTTTGTCGCACTAACGGGGGGAGGATTGCATTTCTACGGTTGTGCGTCGCCTGTGTTAATCCGGTGCCTCACCAGAGAGCTGCAACCCGGGCGTTCCGTGAACGTGTCGCTGAAATGTGTCAACAGCGACGACAGGCGTGCTTTCTCGCGTTTCGACAAGCTGTCCGGCAAAGGCGGCAGTGAGCCATTCGAGTTGCTGCTTAGCGGGGGGTCACCGGCATAGCCGAGACCTCGTGCAATGCGGCAGCATTATGCTCGAAGAAAAGCTGTACGCACGGACCGTTTTCCGCCGAGCCGGCCAAAGGACCAGTCTTGGCTTCAGAGGGGGAAACGCGGGCCGCGGGGGCAACGCTTGGTCTCCTTTCCTCCTTCTTTCTCGAGGCGTCCGGCGACTTACTGGCCGCCGAGACCACGGGAGGTGCAGCGAAAGGCCGTAGAGCGCCGGAAGGGCCGTCCCTGTAGCCTCCGCTTGCGACGTCAATCATGATACCTGTGCGCGTGAGAAAGTCGCGACCGAGAATCACAGGCACCGAAAGACTAGGGAGATGCACAAAGCGCTGTCGGCCTGCGCGATTCCCCCAATGCAAAACCAGCCGCGCAGCGCCACACGAGGTGGCGGTACCGCTGGCGAGGTGGAAGGCAGTATCGCACGCTCTAATGCGGACAGAGCGGTCGCGCAAATGAGCCCTAACCTCTTCGCCGAACAGCGAGATAGAAGCCCCGCTATCCAGCAACGCCGCAAACTCTCGACCAGCAATCGTAAGGGCGATGAACGGCGCCGGCATGGCTGGAATGTCATGTCCAGCGCGACACGCCATCCGTGCCAGGGGTTATGTTACACTCCCGTGCTCTCTTACTGCTGCAGCCACCGGCAAGGGGGAGCTCACCGACGGCTCACCCCGTTTCCCGACGGGCGAGCAGGCCCTTGTGTCGGTTGGGGCGCGTTGCACTCTTGCGCGGTGTGACCACGCTCACGGCAATGAAAGCAGACCACGCCTTTTCCTCCAACAGGGGGAGATTTTGGCGATCCTTTAGAGCTACGAGGTGTCCGTTCGCTAGCCGCAGTGGGGGCTCCGCGATCGGATATCCCCTCGTGCACTGGAGCACAGTTTCTGTTCTTGTTCACCCTGCAGGGCAACGGTGGCCGCCCGGGCGTACGAGTACGGGTCCAGAGCGCGGTCCGACCCACCGAGCGCGTCTCGGTCTCTCGCGGCAGAGGCCGCCTCATGGTTCGGGGAACCCCAGTGTGACGAGTCACGACCAGCCCACGTGCAACGAGGCTCGAGAGACGCGGACGGCGGTGGCGGCGAGCGATAAGCTCGCGCCGCCAAAATGTCACCCTGAATACGCTTTGCATCGGATGCCAGCTCGTTTAGGTCACGATAACGGGCGCTGCGAAGGTAAGCGGCAAAGGTTGGATGAGCCTGGCGTATGGCTCGCTCCACTTTCTCGGCGTCTGATGCCATAGGATCGGCAAGGAAGTAGAGCTCCTGCAAAGCCCGAACGTACTCGAGAAGAGATTCGTCGGAATGCTGTGTGCAAAGCTCTAACTCGCGACGCATGCGGCGCTCGTATTCAGGAGGAAGGAATTCGCTACGGAAGAGCGCCCTAAGCTCCTCCATCGAGCGAGCTTGGTGGCCGACGGGCCGGTACCACCTCGCCGCTTGGGCTGTCAGCGACACGGGCAAAACAGAGCCTAGCATAACGCTGTCGCTCAACCGCGTAGCCTGCTCATAGCGGTGCAGCGCATCGAGGTACTCTGTGGCACTGATGCGGTCCGAATAACCACTGTACTCAGGCAGAGGTACTCTTAAGCTACTCTGAACGCTTGGCTGAGGGGACTCGGGCTCTCCCTTTAAAGCACAAGGCTGCGAGCGCACCGCTTCTAACAGAACGTTTAGGAGCTGCGCCGTAGTTGTGTGCAGCGGTGACTGCTCCGACGCGGGCGCGGCCGTAACAGGTGCGCGTGCCTGTTCCCCAACATGCGCGTCTGACCGAAAAGGGCCAGTACACGACATGGAGGAGGATAGGGTTTCCGCTCCGACTGGTGCTTGAGGCCTCACGCGACTGGCAAACGGGTGGACAGCGGAGCACGGTGGCCTACGTCGGTCGAAAGTGTCGCCCACGCGAGTCTCAGGCCAGCAAGCGTTGGTGAACGCGGCGACGCTGTCGGTTAAGCGAGCAGGCTTGCAGACGACATCGTCAACCCTTTGCGCTCGCGACCACGGCAGGTCATTAAGCGCGTTCCCGCCAACACCTGAGTGTCCCTGGTAGGAAGGACTGAGTGCGGCGATTTGAGCTGTCAACCGTGCTGCTGACGGAGAAAGGCCAGCGAGCGGAGACTGCGCAGGGGACGGGCCCGTACGCGCTTGAGTCTCGAACAGCTGATACGGCCCGTTACTGGCTTGGCTAGGACTGTGGTCCTCGTTCAAGTGACTCGCGTCACCGTAGGGGGCCCCGAAAAAGGGATCTCTCCCGGTGAACGAAAGCAGAGGGTCGCCGAGAGGGCCGTACACCATGCTGTTGCAGCCGTCCGCCTCGAACAAGATCAAGTCCGTCGCCAGGATCGAACAGGAACGAGCCCCTCGAAGGGGTCTGCTCTAAAGCCATGCTGAAACCAAGTTGGGCGCCAGTTATGTGGAGATAGGTTTGCACAAGGCTTACCTACTAAGCGCAACCGTGTATGGATGCGACGTCCTCCAATGCCACTGCGTGCGAAGACGCTGCGGCCGGGTTCGTCGATTTTTTCGGCAAGGCGCAGAAACCATGCACGAGGCAGGACAACAACAACCACAGGTTTATCAACCCAAGATGCAGCACAGTGCGACACTCACGGGCTTGCAAGCCGTATAGGGAACTCCGCAAGACCGAGCAAGTACGCTTGCCTGGGGCGCGACGACTCTCGCACAAGGGCCAAAGTTGAACGCACGAACGAGAAGCCGCCTGCTAAGCAGCGCGTCAACCTCTCGTGGAGGCCTGAGAGCATCTGCTGCGCTGAGCAAATCGTCTGGCGCAACAAAGCTCGTAGGAGAGGAGGATGTCACGCGCGGCCCAAAGGGAAATGGTGCTGCGTTGTGACGTAGGCCCGCGCAGTGCGCCAGCGTAGCGTGCCCGGACATGCCAGCGCGGAAAGGAGCCGACGGTTGACTGGCCAAGACCAAGAGGCGCACTGGAAGCCATCTTGGCGGATGCCCGTGCTTATGCGCGCCCGGGCCGCGCCGTCGGCGCGCGCGGCAGCTGGGGAACGAGGCGCCAGGTAGGAGGGCACTCTTGATTCCCACAATGCTCAACACGTTTTGCGCAAGCACGGCCCTTGAAAAAGGTTGTTTTGGTTATAGTGTGGTACCGCTTATAGTGCGGATATTCGTGACTTTCGCGATTTACGTTATAAGCAGTCTATAGTGTAGTATGAAAACAGAAGATAAAACACTGTAAAGATAACAATCCTTGCACTGCTTGATGTGCAGGAATAGTCGGAGGAAACATGAACTCTAGAATTCCTGAGAAGTGTAGTGAGCAAAATTGTCAAAAGAATTGTGCTGCGTGGTAGGAAAAAAAAGAGGGAGAAAAAGAAAGCCGCCGCCTTCTATCGCAGGGTGAGCAGCTAGTATCCTAGCATCATCACCTTACAACATTTTTTTCGTTCTTACCACTATAATCTTTCTAAAATTCTTAAGGTACCATCTCTACTGGACAGCAGCACTTCACAGCTTTGAGTGCAGAGCTTGCATTCATGAAGAAAGCCTAGTGAGAAGCCATTCAAGAATTTTTTTATTAGGAAATGAAGAGCTATAAAACAGCCTAAGCTCGTGAGTACTGATGAAACAGTTACTGTTGTAATGCTAAAAATAAACTACACCAGCAAAAAATAACCAAAATATTGTTCTGCTCTTTTCTGTTTCTAATGCAATTATTTTGACATGACACCTACAGAAAACGTAGTTCTCACCTGATCCAATAGAGATGTTGACATAAGCCTTTCCAGAGCAAGAGATGGTGAATTCTACATCATTGCCGACTTTTATTGGCACATTCATAAAATTTATGTTGCGGTAGTAGTCTTCGGAGGACAGGTTGAATGTGTACTGAAAATCAATACTGAGATTATCTGAAATGAAACAGAAAAAAAAAGGGGGGGGGTGTCAACAAAATAGTCAAATCATATAGTGCAATTGAACCGCTGTATAAGAGACACTGATGTAACAGAAAAATGGGTATAAGAGGCACCAGTGTGCCTACATTGAAATAGGGGTTAATAGCAAAATGCATACGTGATACCCTGATACTACGCGGAGGGACAGGGGCCTTGTCAGGCTGTTTCCCTTCAGCCCTTGCACCTGCAGTGAGCTCTGTATGTGCTTACTGTAAAATAAAGTAATATTACTATTACTATAAGATACACCTCATATAACAGACAATAATTGCTTCCCGGTGCATGTCTCTTATAAAGGGGTTCAAATGTACTAATAATAAATGTCGGTGTTCCAACATCCCAAAACCACGATATGATTACGGCAGATGCCGTAGTGAGGGGCTCTAGAAAATTTGACCACCTGGGGTTCTTTAACGTGCACTTAAGTCTGTGTATAAAGGCCAGGATTTGATCCCGCAATCTACGAGTCAGGTGTCAAACACCTCAACCACTAGACAACCATGGCAGGTCCCAAATGCCTAGAGTTGTGCCCTTGAGAAGGGGATCCAGTTACATGGGGATGAAGGCAACGTTGAGCTTGACCCCCCCTCCCCCCTGTTTCTCTGCAGAGGGGCTGGAGGGGGCAGGCATAGCTTAGCATTCATCTTCTTTACTTCCCCTGGTGACGTGCACAGTTCATTTGGCTTACAACCTCTTATGTGTAAAAAGTGAAATTCTATAAAGAAAATAAAAGTCACAGTTTTGCCAAAGGGGAAAGCAATGAATGCGATAGCAACATATTCGAATGTCTTACGAAGCAGGGCTAGCATTTTTAGGAGCAATACTAATTGTAGTAAACATGCGCTTGCCAAGTAACCAAGCTTCCTGCCACAGTAGATGACCACAACAAGGCCAATCCTTCTCAAATACTGAATGTATAGCAAGTGTCTTTATTAATTACTTCAAATCTTTTTTTTTTTTTCCCTACCGATAGTGGCCCCACTTCTTGATTTTTCGCGTGCAGCTTACTACCCGCTCTTTGTCATTTTGAATTAAGCTTCTCCGGAATACAAACCCTTTTACTAAATTCTACTAGAACTCGCTGTTGGGCTAGTTGGTGTATGTCTTGATTAAATACTCAATGTCGCGCCGAATGAACAACCACACACAGAAAGAAACAAATATGGACACCACGGGCCCTTTTACTAAATCTTGAGGCTTTGAAACAATCTGGCCCCGACGGTAGTCATCATATGTTTCTAAAGTAGTACTCAGAATGGTGTGCGGACTATCTTACTGTAATATTTAAAAAATCCATAACCTCTGCAGCACTTCCCCAGCTGCTGAAATTAGCAAATGCTCTGACAGCACTGAAGTCCGGACACCAGATGATAAATCAAATTATAGGCCTATATTTTCGCTTTCTACCAGCTGTAAACATTTGGAGCGTATCATTTAAAAATAAATTATAGGGCATTTAAATACACGCAATATACTTTCACTATCACAGAACGACTTGCATGCTGGCTATTGTACTGTTGTTACACAGTTGCTTCAATTTGCTCACGACATTGCCTCTTGCCTTGAGGACCGAAAACAGATGAATGTCATATTTATTGACTATTTGAAGGTCTTTGGCATGGTTTGCCATGCTAAACGTTCAACTTTTTCACAATTTTTTTGCGAACAAGCTACTTGATTGGATAGCAGATTACTTGCTGTCATGTTCAAATTTTCTTACGAGTAACAACGCGCAGTCATCTTACGTACATATCACATCAGGAAGGAACCTTAAGGCTCTGTGCTTACTCTGCTTTGGTTTATTATTTATACAAATCACAGAGAAGAAATAGTGGGTGATACTCACACTTACAATGTATGCAGACGACTGCATTATCTACAGAACCATCTCTAATACTCAAGATCAGGCAGTGCTAAAAGGTGTATTTTTCGACATTTCGTAACGGGAGTGAAACAAGGCAAGCTTCAAAAAGATTGTATAGTCACGACCTTTCAAATAACAAACAGCCTTTCCATTTTACACATACTAATGACGGTGTAAGTATAGTTGGTGTAATGTAGTTTGAATACATTTGTGTAACTCCCACAGGAAATTTAAAATGGCGCACGCATGTCGAAACAATCTGCAACAAGCTCTTCGAAAACTTTGGTGTCCGATGCACGCGAAGCAACTTGACAAATGAATGCTGACTGACAGTGCATGAGACTTTCGTGAGACTCAAATATGCGTTGGTTGTTTGGTCGCCCTATTACAAACATGACATAATCTTGTTAGAATCTGTTTAAAAAAATATTCTGCTGATATTTCATCGCCTAATTTGCATGAGCATGTCTTATCGCTGCGGCACCTCTTGAACATCGGCATACTTGCAATCGTGTCACCCTCCTGCCTAAATAAGATAGTTCACACTGGTTCGAGTGTTCTAGCACCAATATCATTCATTGCATCTTCTAAACACCGTACCGCGTGATTTGATCCTCGAAATAATTTTTATTTTTTATTTCACAATACTGCAGGCCAACATGGCCCAGGCAAGAGTGGCTTTACAAAATGAAGAGGAACAGTAGAGAACAGAAGATAACAATACTAGCACCACATGAAATACATCAGTTTTGCTATAAAGAGATTTTTAAACAAAGAAATAAAAAACAGCACCAAAACAATACAATACTCTCACAATAAGTTATATAACAGTCTCAGCAATTCAATATTCAACATGGCAGATGTTGTTCAAGGGCTTCATCAAAATTTTCTGCCTCGCAAAATAACTTGGGCACACTATTCCAATCTGAAACACTGCGGGCGAAAAAACTGCCTCTGCTTTGGCAAATATTTAATTAAGGGTGTGTTTGTGAATATTGCCCGTAGTTGTGGGTGTAGTAACGGTCAAATATGAGGGTGCAGACATACTAAGCTAGTGGGGGGATATTATAAGCTTTCATGAGTTGAGTTGGGGTGATTTATCCTTTTGTATTGTATTTATAAGTTTAATGGCTTTCTTTTGTAGCACTTCTAAGCTCTGTATATCCTTTTTTTGTGTATGGGTATCCTGCTATGCCACCTGCTATGTCTCCAATTGTGACCGTTAGATCATTTCTTGTTTTCGTTTTCTTTTGTTTGTTGTTTATTTTTCTGTAGAGCATGCATTTTTGAAACCAGATAGGTATCTGCACATACTTTTGAGCAATTAGAAAAAAGAATTACACGAAAATGTATTTTCTTAAATTTTATTTTTTTTCAAGGTTTATGTCTATGCTACATCTTGAAAACTTAAATAGCAGTATTTATAAATAAATAGCAATAAGACATGCTGCTGTCATTTTAACTGCTTCGTACTTTCAGGGAAACCATTTTTTTTTTTCAAAACTCGAGAGAAAAATTGCTATGCCCACGAACTCTTGATCTCCCCCCTCCTCCCCACCCTCTCCCCGTGCCTTGCGGCCGCTGATCCAATGCACCCGTGCCGTTGACACGTTGCCGCCAAATGTAGAAACACCGGCCCGCCTGCGGCAATTTCGGTACCGGCGCACAGCTCTAGAAGCCAGTGTGAAAGTGCTCCATTAGCAGGAAGAGCAAATGTGAATGTCAATCATTGTGAGTATACATGAGTGAGATTCAATAACATTGTGTGAAATAGGCATGACTGTAAATAAATGCCTGTGGCCAATAAACGACTAGACTGTCAGGACTTTGTGATGAATCTGTGAGATCTGGTACCAAGTTCCATCTAGCTGAGTAGAATTTTAGCCTGTCTGAGTGGTCAATCCAAAAAAGTGACATCTTAATGTAAGCTTTTGTGATAAGCTATGACAACATCTACACTCATACCACTAGCAAGAGCTCTAGTAGGAGGCAAGCTGTGAGATGTATTTCCCTGCATGAAGTAATGTCAAATTCAGTTACGTGTTTGCAAGTGACAATACCCACGTCAATTTCACTCAATGCCTGAAAGAGGAGTAGGTGCTGTAATATCGAAAACAGCATTAAAGGATGTAGCTCAGAAGTTGGCAGCCTTTGTGACCAGTGCGTGCAACTTCTGGGACTATCTCCATCTAGGTCTTTGGTGCTCGTCAATACAGTTGACTCAGATTTTCTCTAAATTATTACCAGGCCGGTAGACATGATGGAACTACTATAGAGGGCATGACAGCATGTGTTTATATTTTTAGGATCATATTAAAGGACTAGTAAACAGGCTCAGATTTTTTATTTTTTTTTGCATCCACCAAACAAGCTCGCCAGTTTATACATTAGACCGTGGCAATCACATATTTCAAATATTATAGCACTGCGCGGCCCGCAGTCCCTCTCTTTTGAGAAACGATACTTGCACCTCTTTCCTTCTGACCAATCCCTCTTATACGCACAATGACACAAACTTGACCATGGGCAACTTGACGTACCACTGAGCTCGTCGATTGGGCCTTTGCCCTACAAAATGGCACCGTGGCCTTGCGGTAATGCAGTTTGGGCCACACAGACTGCATTTTAATTTTCCTATGCTGCATTGTGTAGTTTCGTTGAGCCTCAGACTACCAGAAGAAGCAGTTTTTTTCAGAGCGAGAGCCTCTGAGACAAAGAGGCATCTCGCTACTTTATCGCAGGAAAAGGTGCTCCTCGAACCGTGCTTCCTCCTTGCGCGCTATAACATATGCTCACATCACGGATATACACATCACTGCCACCTGCACACATCACTGAAGCAAATGTGCTTTGTTTGAATGGAAAGTTCCCATCCGCCTCTTTGTGGCACAAAGCTACAAGAAAATTCACAACGATTTCTCAAAAAGAAAAAATTTCCTAGTTGCCGAAAAATTCATCTTAGCCGGAGGTTTCAACCTATTCAAATGCCTCGACTAGAAAACTTTCTCTTGCCAAGACATTCACGTGGATTTCCTTGTAGCGTTACGTCACATATGGGTGAATGGCAATTCTCCCCCTTTTGACCCTTTCT